TCAAGGAATGATATTGATTTGGTCTACTTCAAAAAAATAAAATGCGAGCTTAGATTTTTAAACACCGCAAACGAGGTACGTGGTTTGGTAGTTTCACCGTCGATATGTATATTTGAAGGGCAGAATAACCGGAACCGGAACGGTTTTACTGCGTGGGACGTAAGGACGTATACAGCGTCAATGATCTATTATCGATATTTCCCTACTTTTGAAGCTATTGTAAAGAATCAATTTTCACGGTGTTGGTTGCGAACACCCTGTATATCGATCCTTTTTCATAGGTTTTAATGACAGATTCATCGATATATCGATAACGATATATAAATTATTATTATTATTATTTATTATTATTATATCGCAAGCAAAGCACGCCACGCCACTGAACATACGCCACTTGAATCGTTGAATTTGGATAATAATTACAATAGACCGGAACTTGGGAAGAACTTTACATTAAAAGCGATTTGCCTTTTTGCACCTGATTCCTTTATCCTAACTTTAATCCCCTGTTTTGGCCGTAGGAAAAAGTTCGCTGCAGAGGTGAGGGCGAATTTTTCCAGAATATCTCACTTAACGTCTCCATCTGCTTGGAGCGCCACGCAGATTGCGCAACAAAAACCGCCAACAAATCTATTTAGTGAGTACAATAACCGTGGCGGGTGGATGCGTGGGTGGGGAGAGAAGGAGGGACGTAACGTAGGGGGTGTTTAAAATTCGAAATAGGATTTATCCGAGCTCCTCGAGCTGGGGGACAACTCACGAATTGGGCGTGCGCCGCGGCGCCGCGCATACCCAAAGACCCCCGTCCCCGCACGACCGAGAAAATTCGGCAAGAGTCACCATCTCCGTTCCGTTATCTGCCAAACTCCTCAAAAAAGAAGAAAAACACGAATGAACACACCCCATCTTTTCCACCTGCACGTAGTTCTGTTTGATAGAAATACGTCGAATTTTGAGTCGGAACGTCTCGGGTTATTAGTGTTATATTTTTAGCCTTATTTTCCGTTTCCCCCCCTTGTTTTTTCCATGTTACTATTGTCTTGGGCTGCTTCGTAAAAATGTGTATCTATATCTGCGAAATGCGGTGCAATTAAACGTTCCTTATCGCAAAGTTTAGTCGACTTGGCAACGTGGCTAGGAGGACCTGTTGCTCTAGCTCGGGCGGAGCGCGGCGCGCTCCGTTGGCCATTGGCGGGGGCGACTGCCCCACACTAATTTCACCCGGTTCCAGCCCGATTCACCCCCGTTACCACCCCCGCCCCCACGGCGACAACCCCTACGGGCGCTCATCACTCCAACTCCAAGTATTCACTTAACTACCTCAAAAGCTGGAATTTAATCTAGTTTATGTAGCGTCCAGCTAGCCGCTGCCTCTTGATATTTCCTCACACCAGCGCTGCCAATTCTCATCTCCAGTTCCCCGTTATGACAAAAGAAATCCATGGACAAAAAAATCCAGGACCTCGCATTTCGGACATTATTGCAATTCGTCTGTGACGTACATAGATAACGACGCTTTTTCTCATATTTTCTAGAAAATAGTGTATTTTATGAAAGCAAATATTTCTAGCATTTGAGCTTATATGAGTTCAACTGCGAGCTACAAAAAACGGACTTTGTGGTTCGTTATTTATACTTCGAATTTTGGATTTTGCCGGAATAACACCACCGTATTGTGCTTACCTACATTACGGGGTAAACACATCCTCATAAAGCGACCAACTCCCGTTTTTTTTTCTATGAAAGAAATTAAGTGCGCTGTTGAAAGTAAGGATATTCTTTTCTACATTTGCGTGAAAAGTTAATGGATTCAGCCTAACCCTGAAAATTCAGGGAAGGTTTTTTCTTTCAGGCACAAAATAGAATTTATTCAATTTTTAGAAACTCCGAAAAAAATGCTTGCGAAAGTAATTCCTTTAAGGAATTATCAGGAACATTTGCGATCTAAAGAAGCGTCTCATACCGTCGATGATAGCGTCGCACCTCTGACGTAAGGGCGTCTTTCAATTTCTACGCGGGCCCTCGAAAGCGTAGAGTCATTCGAAGAACGGAATCACGTGAAAATCGAGTAACGCCGCCCTCACGCCAGATGAGCGACGATGATACCGATTTAACTTTGGTTGTACACTCAAGTACAATTTGAGTAAATTACAGTTCATTTGCCTTAAATTCACTCTAAACGACTCTGCGTACTGATTATTTGAATTGATAGACACATCCATAGACCGAGAAGACGACAGGAAAATTGAGACCTGTTGGCTGAAACGAGTGGTGTTTTTTGACTAACAATAACGGGGGAATTATAGACTTGGGTCAGCGCTAGGTAGTCTATTCTTTACCTCCTATAAGTCTATTGAAATTATTCGCTTCCACGAATAAGTTCGCATCATTCTCTCTTTGGCTCCTCGTCAGTCCTCGTCCACAGTTGTCCATCAATTTCAATAATCAGCCCGCCTGGTGACTTTAAAATGACTCGAATTGACTGTAAACCATTCTATTTGTCTCCAAGTTGGTATATCATTGTTCCCGATCTACTGGTAGCCTGGACTTGTTTACAGGTCGAAACAGAATACTATTCATTTTCGGAGTGTACATTTCAGATTCTTCTTCAATTTTTGATTCCACGAGCCATCGTCACCTCGGTTCACCATAGATTTCCGTCCTTTCGAGTGATGCTTTGGAAAACTTCGTGTTTGAGCATTGAGAAAAATCAGATTCATCACGACATAGAAAATTTCTCCCGACATTAGTTCTCAGTTTTATCAAGGAAAATGCTTGTACGAAGAAAGCTCCTCATTTCGGCAATTAAAAGTTTACTCGTGACAAAATTTAACCACCTTTAAACCACCAAAATTGTTCCTATATTACAAAGAGGCGTGGTGGTCCAAGTTTTGGAAATTATTGTAATCGGAACTAAAAACCCATGATCCAACTCCAGGACGAGCTGCGTGTGACTATATGTCCGTGCTTGTCCAGACTATGATGACAAATAAGCTAGGTTCTATGAGTAATACTTTGAGTGACAAGTTAAACCCTTTCACCACGAGGGTGGGGAGGATAAACATTAGCAGCCTTAACTGGCAATGTTTGGTCCAATAAACTTCAAGTTAACAAACCGTCCGAATGCAAACAGTGAATTGCGGTCAATGGATGTAGGTCGGTGAACTGTAATCTAATTTTGACCAGGAGCGTGCAGTATTGAAGCACATCTGAATTAATTATTAAAATAGCGTATCGGTGGCGGAACTATCAAACAACGTAACTCGGTTACCGGAGGTACAGATTTCTCGCTGTATTTTACTACTTTGGAGGCTTCCTCATCATCGCTTCGCTGTGGAAAATTTCGTGAAATTTTTTTTGCCTACACAACAATATAGGCCCGAAATTTTGTCTCGGAATGGATGGTGGTATCATCCTAAGGAATATAATTAGAGCAAAGCTTTTGAAATTCAGGAATCAAAGTGCGTGTTATTGCACCATCATCGTCCATGTGACACATTTGTCTACATTTTTATGTTAGTCTTGGCACTAGCCGTCCTAGGTATATAAAGACGTGACGCGAAAAATCATTTCGGGGATGAAAAAAGTATGTCCGCTCAGTCTGATGAGTGACGTGTTGAGTATCTCGTCCAGATAAAGCACCATGAAAAGCGAGTTAGGTTTGTCGGACGGAGCTTACCCAAAATTCATTGGAAGTTGATTTTACAAAACCAGTAGAACTGCCATATTTCCCGCAAAATTTCACTTGATGACGCGCTGATTTTGTTACTCAAGGGTGATTTCACGATAACAGGAATAGTTAAAATGTGAAATACCTTAGAAATAAAAGTGCACCAATTTTAACAGGATTTCATTACCTTATTTTAAAGGTATTAAACTTCCTTTTTCCAGCTTTGGCACGCTCTATTTTAATTCAGTGCAAAGTTAAAGTGATTGATAAACAAGCCATTGAATCAGGTATCAGCGCTTCCCGCGGGACTGCTGGAGGACCACGCAAACATGGCGGCCCTGCCAAATTGTGTCGGTTACGTAACAGACACAGCGTAACCGACACTCAAAAATGTGAGATTAAAGATGATACAAAAGATGAAACTTGGCAATTCTTGAGTTACGGGGTGGAATTAATGCTGCCTTAAAAGTTTTCTAAACTTTGGTGCTACACACGTAAAAATCACTGGTTTTCATAATAATTAAAGTTTTCATTGTAAAAAAAACTGACTTATCAGGAATGGTTTTGTCAAGAAGACTCCAGCGAACAATTTGATGGCAGTTTTGAAACTCCTGACTCCATCTGGCGAGATAAACACTGCACTTAATACAACTGCAAAAATGTGTTGCCAAATGTGGCGACACCTCTTTCTTATGACTTTTCTCGCTCAATAATAAACATTTCAGTTCAAACTGGCAATTTTCTTGAACACTAGAGTCTCTTTTCAGCAAATATTGCCAAAGAGTTCATGATCAGTACTGATTTGTTACCACAAATTGCTCTTTTGCTTCAAAATCGGGGTTGGCGACGCGTAACCGACCGGACATTTTCGGCCTTTAAAGTCTCATATTATTAAATATAATAATAATTCATCATATTTTTCAACATGGATAGGTTCAGGGACATCATTCCTATTGATTAATTAAGTTGGTTTTCAATCGTTTTTCCCTATGTCGTTCATAACCCACGGCGACACGACTATTCCTATTATCGTGAAATCACCCTCAAGCATCTGCCTTGCACTGTCGTATTTATCCTTGTATTCGGCTTTCATCGCACAAAAAAGATCGATCCTCAATAGAAATTTTGGAGTGCAAACAGCCCAAAATAGGCTTATTTTGCTTTCTTCGGAGCTCCCTTTGCAGATAAATCGTTTTGATAAATGAGTCATTTTATAGCCATGGACGTACGACTTCAGTCTTACATTTATAAAATGGCTTGCGATTTGAAATTTGGTAGGTAATCAGGGTAAAATGTAAGCCTCACAATGGCCTTTTTTGTGTGTTTCCAGGTGTTCGGCCAAGTGACCTTAACTTTTAGATACGGTAGAGAGGACGAGGAGGTGATGGGACTGAAATTTTGTAATGAGGCCATTATGTGCTTAGCGCAGCTATACCCAATTCATGAGAAAGCAGTCGTAGAACCAAACACTCCCCTACAGGTAAGTTCCAAGTTTCTCATCACCAACTCCTCTTTATTCATAATTATTTTTTTACCCGTTTTTTAGAAACAGTATTTGTGTTACCATCTATTTGGATTATTGCATCATAAAAACATCCACCGAAGTTTATTAATATGTTGTTACCTTTAAGTTTAACTGCACATGCTGGCACTAAGCGGCTAGTCATAATTGGACCGCGTTAAGCAGAGAGGAATCAGGCCGCATCAGCAAATGCCTTAAATGGGCAATTTAATTTTTTACAAGAGAACGTTTAAGCGGATTTCTTTGAAAATTTTAATGAATTTGCTTCATACGGTGTAGAATATTCACTTAAATTTGCACAAGAATCCGCACAATCGTTTTCATGTAAAAAATTAAATCGTCCAATTAAAGGCAATAGCTGATGTGGCTTGGTTCCTTTCTGTTTAACGCGGTCCAGTTATTATTTTCTTAGATTACTCTAATTAAAAAATTTTGACATTTTCATTTGTTTGTATTCCGAAAGCTCATAATTAGTTTATCATCACTTTTAGTCTTCTGTCGTCGCTTAATTCGTTAACATCGAGCTCCACAAAAGCCCAACATTTGCACACGAACAAAAATAATGGCGGAGTTTTTCTGCACTTAAAGGATTTCAATGACAATACCTACTCCTTAGCATAGAAACAATTTATGAGAGCGCGGAAGGCTCAACGGGAGCTAGAGGATCCCCTAGTTTTTAATAAAGATAAACGTCAGTCTTCCTCTAATTAGGTGAGGTTGGTACCAGTGCTCATAATTAATTACCCACCCCACATACTCGCACGGTGGCTGTTGATGACGGGAGGAGGAGGAGGAGGGAAGGGGGAGGGNGGCGGGGGAGGGTCAACAATGGCAATTAAATTTGTTCCACGCTCGATGCGGGGGAAGTGAGAAGCCGCAAAATTCAGTAAAAGCGCAAGGGAAACGTAAATTACTCTTGCCGAAACAATTGAACGGCCAACTGGAAGAAAGGCTTAGCTGGCGTCGAAAACCCCGGGGCAGGTACGCTCTTCTTCAAGTCAGTTGCTGTGTTTCCCTCGCTAGAAGACACGGCCTCATTTCGACGTGGATTTTCGTGGTGCAACCGCCGAATTCTCCCTGCGAAAATTCCCTGCTCGGAATTCTTGGAGTTAGAATAGAAAGGAGCTGCGGGTTGATTATTGAAATTGATGGACATATAGCGATAGAAAAAAAAGATTAAGGGAAAATAAAGCAACCGTATTGGTTGAGACGCGTGGGTATTATAGACCAAGGGGAAAATGAAGGGCTAACTATACAGGGTTTCCCATGGGTTATGGTTAGTTAGTCTAGTGCTTACCTCCTTAGTCCAGTGGAAACAACCGCTTCCTCCGGTAGAATCACTCCATTCTCTCTTTATTCTATAAATTTCAGTAATCCCCTCTGGAATACTTACGAAAGAAGAGTATAAAAATATTTCGTCGTTTTCCAATCGAAGGAATGTACCTCAATTCAGAGGTTGCAAAATTTACTCACGTCATGTTTTTTTCACACTAGGTAACAAAGGTGTTCGCAATACTATACCCCGTATGACACAAAATTCTTTTCTGAAATAAGTTCAGTTAAACTTGAAATATTCCATTATTGGCCTGACCATTGCAGCCAGCAGGGTGTCTACTATCAGTGAAAACCGAAAAATATCAGGAAATTCGATGTTACCAGGAAAAATCAGGAGAGTGTTAGGAAAATCGGTCATGGATGAGGAAATTCTGAGTGCTTCAAGCATTTTTCAAAATGATTCAATTCATCAAATATAGTGATACTTTAAATCAAACGAGTGTCAATTTCATTAATTCGAGGGAAAAATAAAGAAATCTCGTCTAAAATACCAGGAAAATCCAAAACTAAATTTTACGAGACACCCTGGCCAGGAACTAGCGAGGTAAATTGATGAAGGCTGAAACAAAGTTTAAAAACAATAAAAATCCATCGGTTTTATTAGGAATAAAATAATTTGATGACAAAAAGCAAAAACTTAGCTCCTATGCACTAAAAAAGTGTTGACACTAAAAAATTGTACCAAAATATTCCGAGGGTAGTTTAATATTCTCGAGCGAGAATGACGCGCTTCAGACTGATGAGCAAGGGAACTTCCGAGATCAGTATTAACTGACGTCAGTATCAGATCAGTATCCGTAACGGTGAGATCAGTATCCTTCGTCGGAGCATTCGAAAGTGTAGTCCGGGTAAACTTTCTTCAGAATGCTTGCGGTTACGTTGTGATCAGCTTTGCCGAAACCCTGAAAAGTTAAAAAATTGGAGAATCAACAACCATCGTAGCGTCTTCCTCTGTAGACTAAGCCACCCTTACGATGGAAGTTTTGACATGAAACGTAGGGCGGGCATGCTGCGTTGAGTTTACGGCAGTTGAGTCGATGGGTCGTCGTTTCATGTGACATTGGTGTATTTTAGAGACTTCTAGCTTCCCTGTAGTGTAAAAGTTACAACAAAAGTCAGCACTTAGGTTCACCTGATGATGACTCACGACCAAATAGTTGAACGATTGATACGGAAAACTCGTCGCCGCTCTGACGTAAGGGCGTATCCCAGTTTCGACGTGAGCCCTGTTTTACATATGAATCCATGCTTTCTGGGACTCATGGGGAAATCGAAATACGCCCTTGCGTCAGAGGAGCGACGAACTTACCCTGTTTTGCAAAAATTCGCCTAGTAAAGTGATCAGCCAGAAACTGAGCGGACAGCATTAGGCAATTTTTTTACTTCTTGGGCTGAGATTAAGAGAGGCCCTTTACCAATCTCTTAGTAACACGGGGAAACTTTTAATTTTGGAGATTGGACCTCTTCTTACGAACATTGAGGCGCTGGGTTTAGAAAGGGCATTTCTTGGTAGCGGTGACTTAGAATCTCAGATATCGTTCATTCCATTATGATCACATCAGATTTATGCAATGTTGAAACTTTACTGAGTATTTTTTTATGATTTTACGAGAACGAAAAATTTCAGAAAATCCACCCAATAGTCTCCTCTCGAAAATATAACTTAGCAGTGAAGATTCTGAAACACCGCAACCAAGAAATGTCCTTTATGCCCGTAACGCCTAAATTATAAGGTAACCACAGTTATCAGCCTTTTTTCGGCCGGTGACCTATGTACTGGGTGGATGATAGTTTCGAGTGACATAATGAGTCAAACAAGTTTACCAAATCTTGGTTTGATTGCACAACACAATCAACACGTTATTAAACATCCACCTAGTCGGTAGGTCAACTGTTTTCAAACTTATCTTCCTCACCTGATTATATCGTTGCTCTTCTGACATAAAGGAGTACCTCAATTTCCACGTGAGCCCTAATTAATAAATTAATTAATTTAAATTAATTTTTATATAAATCCATGCTTTCTGCGGCTCATACGGGATTCGAGGTGCGCCCTTACGTCAGAGGAGCGACGATATTTCCCAGCTTGATTGATTACGTAGCATGGTGTCAACGATCATGGTGTTAACAAATACATAGTTATTGTAAGTTTTTGTTGACACCATGATCATCCAAAAAGGAAAAATTCCGACTCTAGTGAAAGATGATCACGGTGTCAACGATCACGACGCCAACGAAACTTAAAACTTCCCTCTATAACATTTTTCAAATTTCAAGTCTTGTTTTTCTTGTGTTATTTAATGTAACCTAACCTAACCTTACCCAACTTTACCTCACAAGACCTAACCCGCTTTCACAGAACTTAGCTTTTCCCGACCTTACCCTACCTAACTTTAACCTTACCTGCCTAATCTAACTGTACATGTACTGACCTAAATTAACGTAATCTAACCATACGTGACCCAAACCTCTCCTGTAGACTTATTTTTTGTCATGGGAACGGAGTTCCCCATGATATTAGAATCGTTCCGTTGCTTTCGCTATGGGATTCCCTATACCTCTGCGACCTTGAGCGTTTCGCCCAGTCTCCGATTTTTGGTTGATTTTCCGATGTATCAAAAACCGTTGTATTTTTTAGCCAATCATGTCTCTACGTCAAGTTGTGTTGATTGCTAAAATTCGCTTTCAGCGAGTTTTTTTCCACCTTAAGATGTCGTGTCTGACTGATAAATCTGCGCAGAACCACGAAGTTCCGTTTTTAGGCAAATTCTTTTTTTTGGGAGGTTCTGATTGGTTATTTTTCGCCATCAGTTTTCTGTTCGTTGGTGCAAAAGATCGCCTACCTCGGTGTTCTTGAGAAGCCGCCATTATCCCACCTCAAATTTTAAACATAGATATAAAGAAATAATAACCATCGTACAAGGTGGAAAATTGCTCTGGAGGACCCGTTACGGATATATGAGCCAAAATCAGAACTCGATTGATGGATTTAATCCATGAATACAGAAATATTGCCTCAGCTTACTGCCGCGATCGCAAATCCATACTGAGATGAACCTTGTGACATATGACAGCATAGGTAAACAATGTCTCACAGAGTAATGCGCTTTAATCCGATGTCTCTTATGACGCCAGTGGCCGAACTGCCGAAATCTCAAGGTCGTCTTTTGTGAAGCCCCGCTCAGCGTCCGAGATCACTTAACTGTGCTATTTTCTCCCACCGCTCTCATACGGCGAGATGGCTCAGTCAGCAGAGACACCATTGTGACGTCGGGTGAATGTCTTTTTTTGTGCGAGCGGGGGTTCGAATCTCGCAGGGGACAGTTAATTTTTACTGGTTGTATTGAATGTTTTAGACCAATCATCAAACAATAATTAATACTTGGCAACTTAGGAAGCACATAGGTCCCTTATGATGCGTATTCAGGCATATGTGTAGAGTAAAAATATCATACGTAGGGTGTCCCAAAAGTACCGGGACTGGTTCTGTAACTTCAAAAGTAAGATAGATACAGACATGATTTTGGTCTCATTTTAAAGATCAACTCAATACCTATCGATTAAAACCAAGATCAGCTCAATCGGATAAAAATTGACCGAGTTATGACAATTTGAAATTAGTG